TAATACTTTGAGTTTTACTGGTGGAGCTCATACAGCTGTGTCTGGATATCTTGGTCAAATATTCAGCTAGTGTGTATTGCCTGTTTGGGGTTCTGTAGCATTCCACACGGCTGGGCACCTTCCCCCCTCCCGCTGTTTAGGGAGAAATTGAGTATTGGTGTGTATTTTTTCTTTAAAATACCAATAACAGCAACATACAGTTTACATAATATGTTTAAGTTCCTAAATTAATATCATTTATGACCTTTATGACCTTCGTTATGCTCCTCTGCGTTTTATGCTTAGCTGCTAAAATTTCCCTTTTTTGACCGGGGCGGGGGACATTTGGGAATGTGAGTCTGATTAAGAATGAAAAAAAACATTTGATTAAAAACGCATTTGCGTTTGTCTGGGTGCTGACAAAGTAAAACGCAATTACTTTTTGACAATGAAAAACTATGTGTGTGTCTCTCTCTCTACTGGCATTTGTAATCATTTTTATTTTTAAATACATTTTAGCAAAGTCATGTACCATAAAAGTATGGTAATTAAAAACCATTAATACTTTCGCTGGAGTTTAAATAAAGTCGATTTTTTTTCTCTTTTTGGCTAGACTTGACTATTTAGCCATGAGATAAACAATACTTTGTCATTTAAGAACCTTATCATAAGGCGCATTTATGAGCAATCTTATTTCCTATTTCTGAACATCATTACGCAGAAGACAAAGGTAGCGATTTACATTGCATTGTGCATTGTGCTGCTGTAATACAGTTTAAAATAATTAAAAGTCTTAACAGTATCAGCTTATGTATGGGTTGTAACTTAAAAAAAGTGGCAAATTAATAATGTAACATGCTACTGCTTGTGCATGAACATAGTTACTGTATACTGTTATTTCTTTAGATATGCGATTCCATGTTTTTAATCCCTGGCGGGACCAGGCGTCCATAAGAATCAAGTTATAGGTTTCATTGCGCTTTGACAGAAACCAAATTATATAGTTATTAATTTCTTTAGATACGCGATTCCACATTATATTCCCTATTAAACAAATTCTAAAAGTATGCTTGTTGACTCGGGTATCGAGCGTATTCGCAGAAAAGCTTAAAACTACCACTTTTTATACACGTTATTTCACATTAGTTAAAGACTGCGATGCTTAAAATGTTTAGGGAGAAATGGAATACTGGTGTGTATTTTTACCGAGACCAGCCACATACAGTTAACATGCTGTATGTTTATGTTCCAAAACTAATATTGTTTATGGATTTCACACACATTATGGTAAAATTCCATATAAATATTCAATACTTAAACGGGCACAGTAAAGACATGAAATATACATATACATACTGTATTAAGTACAGTATACATGTTCCTAAATCAATATCTTCTATGAGCATGTGAAAGGCATGGTGAATGTGGACCAGGGCAATACTTTGAGTTTACAGCTTGTCCAAGGTCATTCATTATACTGTAAATACTATTAGTATATCTTCGGTAAAGACTTTGATGGGGACAGCTCAAACATGAGAGGTTGAGCTTTATTAGCTCCACCTTCCGGAAATTCAGGATACTATTATTTTATTTGCGGTATCATGCGGCGCTATGTGAGAATATACGGTATTAATACCGTAACTTGCGGTATACTGCATCAAGCGCACCGGAAAATAATGCGGTATCGCCCGCTTGTTTTGAATGGCTGCATCTGTATAAAATAAAAAAACTCCCTTTATTTATCTATCAAGACCATTTGAATTGCTGTCAAACCTAGCATCTAACTAGTTAAGAGGGGATTGATTATGTGAGCAGCTTTCAAGTCTTTCCAAAGATTCTTAATAGCTTTATTCTTAAAATACTTAAGTATAGCTTTGGCTTTATGCTTTGGGGTAGTTTTGTCCCAGTTTTAGTTGTGAAACAGGTTTTTCCTTAACGGTTTGCCAGTATTATGCTCCGTTTGTGTTCCCATCAGTCTTGACAAGATTCCCTGGCCCTGCTGATGAGAAGCAGAACTTTAAAATAATTATGCCATCCACCAGGATTGACAATAGGGGTGGTAGTCATTGAGTAAAGCACTATTTTAGGTTTGTGCTTTTCCATTTTGACCATAAAGGTACAGTTTTCTCTTCTCTGACTATAGAACCTTTTGTATTTCATGTTTTCAGTATCACATAGGTGTTTTGTTCCAAACACCAAGCTGGATTTGAAATCCTGTCAGTTTGGAGGGACAGCCTGTTCTAGGTTGTGTATGAGTGTCCTCCACTTCTTAATAATCAACTGTATGATGCATAAAGATATATTAAGGGTCTCTGAAATGTTTTAATACCCTTCTAATATAATAACATGTCTCCATATAACTTCATTGATTAGTTGTTTTCAGTGCTCATTGGTTTTCATGGTTGAATCATTACTTGAAATTAACTACCTGACTGAAGGACCAGAGTTAGATGTGTTTATTCTGAAATCATGTGAACCAATGTTATTGCAGACAGACAAAGACCACTCAACTAATTTTGTGGCTTATTAAGGTATTTTCTTGTACCTAGATTAATTTATGTTTGCCACAGCAAAGCATTTGAATACTTAAGCAATCGTGCCATTTGAATGTTGCAAATATTAATTGCTACTTCAAAGTTTCATTACTGCAATCTTTAAATAAACTAATTGTTAAAATTGTGCAAGGGTCTAAATAACATTCTGAAGCACTATACATGTTCTTTGTTGGCACTTTGAAAACATTGTTATGTTCAAGCAGAGTCTGTTCATTTCTGTTCAGTTAAATTTATCTGCAACATACAGTAATAATCCTGCAAAAACATACATTAGAGAGTCTTAATCTCAGCTTTAAATGTGGTAAAATTAGCCAATAGTTGAGATAAAGCTCTTTTTGTACTTCATAATACCCCAAGCAGTGACCAAAGAGCATCTGGTACACAACTGTGGTCTGACATAGCCCCAGTGGGAAAACACTTCCACCACACTCATTTTTACATGAGGGATTGAAAAGCAGTATCTCCTGCCAAGCATTGGGTCACCCTCTAAATGGACACTTTGAGGCAGTGAGCTTGAATACTGTGTTTCAACCATTTTTTCAGAATTTAGATGAACTCCTAAGCATTTACAGTGTGACAGTGGCCTGCTCATTATTATCTGACATAAGGGTGACCTCTTAATTAAAACCACCACTGTGTGCTACATGTCACACAGATTTTGCCACCAGGGTAAGCCAGTTTCATGCAGCACTCTGCAGCCGGGAAACAGAATGTATCCCAACTCATGTGAAGTACCTTATACAGTCCCAGAGGAAAGACACAACTCCCTGGTCATCAGTGCTTCGACTGCCATCCAGTGTGGTGCTCTCTGCTGGGAATGTCAGCTCTTTATCTGGGCCTACGACTGCCTGGGGTGGACTGTTGTTCTCTAGCAACACAGAGAATAGAAAAGGTCAGCACACAGCCACCCCTCTTCTTCTTTAATGAAGAACTTTAATGGATCAAACTCATACCATTACAACAACATAAAGCTCTGCTTTTCATCAACACAAAACAAACTCATGCCTGGGCTGTGGATTGCTTACCAGGCTGCACAATGACAGTGACCATGGCTGTGGCCTGCTGGCCTGCCGAGTCAGTAACAGTCAGTTGAAAGGTGTAATCTCCCTCCTGCATTGCTGATAGCTGGAGGTAAGGAGTTCTCACACCCTGGAGGATACACAGAATGGGCAATAAGAATGTGCAATAGAAACAGAAAAATCAGACTCAGAAGAGGGATGTGGCTTCAAGCCTCTTGAAGTTATAACCCCAACTGAAGTATTGTTTTATGTGCTCATCAAACCGTCCACTCTACTAATAGGAATGGATCATTCACTTGAAAAGCACTGGGAAAATATTCCTTTGAGAGCCTTAACACAAGAGCTCCTGCTGAACATGTTTCCCATTTCCTCAGCAGCCAGTCGTCAGAGTGCTGTTTGATGGAGACCACCATGCAGAATGCTGCAGGCAGGGAAAACAATTGTAAATTGAACTCATATATTGCATTTTATTCACCTGTAGACATTAATTGTTCTACTGTAATTGTATTGCAACTTCTACATTTTCAGGAATCAGGAAGGTCTTTGTATACTGTATAAAGAATGTCTGAGAAAAGCTGAGTTTGAGTTGTGTTCAAGTTACGTCTGTAGTATAGTCATTTTAGTGAGTTTAGTTTCACAGTTCAAAGGTTGTAGTTTATATTTATTAGAATGTCTTTACAATAAAGTAGCCATATAACCCTGCAGCTCACAGCTGGCAATCCACCGAAGCTCAGCAGGTGTGAGCCTGAGTGGTACCTGGATGGGAGATCTCCTGGGAACAACTAAGGTTGCTGGAAGTGGTGTTGCTGGGGCCAGTAGGGTGTGGTCACCCTGTGGTCTGAGTGGGTCCTAATGCACCAGTATAGTAACAGGAACTCTATACTGTAAAAAGGCACTGTCTTTCAGATTAGATGTATAATCTGAGGTTCTGACACTCTGTGGGTGTTAAAAATCCCAGGGTTTTTTATGAAAAGAGTGGAGGTGTAACTCCAGCGTCTTGGCAAAATTTCCCATTGGTCTTTACCAATCATGGCCTCCTAATAATCTCCATCTATGAATTGGCTTCATCACTCTTTTCTCCTCGTCACTGATAGCTGATGTGTGGTGAGGGTACTGGTGCACCATGGCTGCCGTTGCATCATCCAGGTGGGGCTGCACATTGGTGGTGATGGATAGGAGTCCCCATTACTTGTAAAGTGCTTTGAATTGAGTGTCCAGAAAAGTGCTATATAAGTGTAAGAAATTATAATAATAAGTGTAAGGAATTATTATTAATAGGACTGAGACCTGGGGACTGTTCTGGACAGGGCACGTTAAACTTGTCTCTTACTCCTGAAGCTAACCATGCATTACCTATCACTACCAAAGTGTACTAATGTGACTGGAAAATCACATTTTGGCCAGTGAGTGTAGAATGCCAGACTGTTCAAGTAATCTTAATGCTGTGTATAAGCAGCAAGAACTGCAACGGCCTCTGTTTCCTTTTATATTTGGACTCTGACTCTCTTTCCATTTGCTGTAAGGCTTTTGAAGACTCACCTGAATGGCCACCACTTTGCCCTTGCTGGCGGGGCTCAGTGACCACTCATAGCTGACGATGCCATGGTCATCACTGCTCTGGTTGCCGCTCAGAGTGATGTAGTTGTGGGGTAGTGTGATGGCCTGATTGGGGCCTGCGTTAGCCACCGGAGGGTAGTCTGTGGGCTTGTGCACCAGCACTGTTGCAGTGGTGGAGTTTGCAGCTCCATCAGAATCAATCACTGTCAGCCTGAGAGGTAGAGAATAACAGCATTATCTCTGATCTGACCCAGATTTCTAACTTCCTTGCCAAAGTCACAGAATCAACAGCAGAAGGAGAGGGCTTTGTTCACTGGACAAAACTGTGATTGATAAATCATAAATTATAATCAACAGAGACAAAATTATGTGGCATTAAAAAGGAAATTGTTCAAATGTCATACACCTGATGAGTTTCTACAGAGGAAAAAAATGTCTTTCTGTAAAACTCTTACTGAAATTTCAATTAAGTAATGCTAGCTTGAAGTCCTTTATATCCTATGGTTAATAATAGTATACAAAATTACATATCCAAATAATCCCAGAATATTCTTACCCAGATTGTGACTCATGTAATTAATCATTTGCTCCTGTGAATAGGATCTGAATGTCTCCAGATTTAACAAAGCTATTATAAGATGAAGTCTAAAATCCACACCATCTGCGGTTTAGGAGTATTTTTACAGAAAAGTTTTAAAACACATTTCTATAAAAAATGACCTCAAGGTTCTTCTCACAGATGGAGATTCTCTAATGCAACTAGTGAGGAAGATCATAAGAAAGAGTCTTGACAATTAATAGAATTGATCATAACTATGATCAGGAATTCAGTGTTCACCAGACACAATGAAGAACCAAGGGTGAATGAACTAAAACACAGTCGTCTAGGCTCTGTATGTCAACAAGAAACTTTAGAATCACCATAAAGAAACAAGTGCAAGCAATTTTACATGTTTCTGGACAGCACTGTCCAAATCTGTTGTGTATAAGCTGAGTTGTGGTTAAAACATGCTGATATATTTTTCAGTCAAATTATGGAACCCTTCCAGAGCCTTAACTACAGTAGGTTGTGGTTTTAAGCTTGTGCTGTAGTCACTGTTGCTGTACACTTGAGCAAGATAAGTTAACCTACACTGCTGGGGGTAACCATGCGACAGATTAGCTAGCCACTAGCCAGCAGTCATATCATCCTGCAACTCACAACTGGCAACCCACTGAAGCTAAGCAGATGTGAGCCTGGTCAGTACCTGGATGGAGACCTCCTGGGAAAAACTAAGGTTGCTGCTGGAAGAGGTATTAGTGGGGCCAGCAGGGGGTGCTCACCCTGCGGTCCATGTGGGTCCTAATGCCCCAGTATAGTGACGGGGACACTATACTGTAAGCAGGCGCTGTCCTTCGGATGAGACGTAAAACTGAGGTCCTGACTCTCTGTTGTCATTAAAAATCCCAGGGTGTTTCTCGAAAAGAGTAGGGGTGTAACCTGGCCAACTTTCCCATTGGCCTTTCCCAGTCATGGCCTCCTAATAATCCCCATCTTGAATTGGCTTCATTACTCTGCTCTCCTCTATACTTACGTCTGTAGTATAGTCATTTTAGTGAGTTTAGTTTCACAGTTCAAAGGTTGTAGTTTATATTTATTAGAATGTCTTTACAATAAAGTAGCCA